TAAATATTTAAATATATGTTATAAATATTTATATATTACGTATTATGCACATTGCATATAATATAGCTATATTTATGTAACGTATTTATATACTATATATAAACACTAAATATTTAAATATATTCAGTATATATATTTATTATGTTAACATAATAAAATTGTATCAAAAAAAGTAAAATCAAAAAACAAACAACATCTATATTTTCCAGAACAAAATTTAGTGAGTAGAGTGGCATTGCTATACATTTTTACACATCTCTCTAATGTTAAGGAGATAGCTGGATATGGCTTTCAGTCTGTTATAATATCACATATCTTGCAGCCTCTTGAAAAATGCCACTGTATAATTATAAGAGACTAAAAGAGAAAAAGGCAAAATCTTATGACTTTTGCAAACAGTTTCGGCTTTGTGGAACTCCTATAAGGGTCTTGGGAACCCTCCAGGCATCCCGGGTCCACACTTAGAGAACCATTGATCTATGTCTTTATTTATTTTTCGGCCTAATAGTTCTATCAGATGCTGAGAGAGAGGGATCAAAATCTCCTATTATATTGTGGAATTGTGTACTTCTCCAATTATTTCTGTAAACATTTCCTTTATGTATTTTGAAGCTTTGTTAGTAGATTCACATGCATTTATGATAATTGTCTGTCTGCTGGATTGACACTTTAATAATTATGAAATATCTTTCTCGATCTCTGGTAATACTCTTTGTCTTGAAGTCTACTTTATCAGAAATTAACATAACTTCTCAAGCCTTCCTGTTCCATATTGGCACCGCATATCTTTATCCATGCTTTTAAAATTTAAAAATGTAGACAGCATATAGTTGTCTTGCCTTTGTCTTTATTCTGACAACCATTGCTTTTAATCAAGGTGTTTAGCCCAATGATATTTAATGTAACATTTTTTAAAAATATATTTTATTGATTTTTTACAGAGAGGAAGGGAGAGAGATAGAGAGTTAGAAACATCGATGAGAGAGAAACATCGATCAGCTGCCTCCTGCACATCTCCTACTGGGGATGTGCCCACAACCCAGGTACATGCCCCTGACCGGAATCGAACCTGGGACCTTTCAGTCCGCAGGTCGATGCTCTATCCACTGAGCCAAACCGGTTTCAGCTAATGTAACATTTAATACAGTGGAATTGAGGCCAACATTTCAGTATTTATTTTCAGTTTTGTTCATATCCGTTTTTGTTTCTCTATTTTGCCTTTTATTATTATTTCACTTTTCTTAGGATTCTATTTTCATTTGCCTAGTTAAGCTTTCCTCCTAACCCTGCCCTGTCAGTGTTTCCTGTACCCTGAGGCCAGCACATTGCCTGAATCACAGTAGGTGTTGAGTAAATGGTGGGATGAGTCTAGCATGTCTTCTTCCCATCCGATTCCATACCTGACTGGCCCTGGGGCGGGGCGGTGGCGGGGTGGAGAAAGCCCACTTCCCAGATGGGGGAACAGGATAGCCAAGCTCTTAGTTCCCTCCCAGACTGGTCACCATATCGATGATCCCATTCTTGGGTTTTCTGTTTCCTATGTATGGATTTGGGTTTGGGTTCTGGTTTGGGCTTGTACCCATCATGCAATGTCAGTTCAGTCTCATTTATCAAGTTCACCATCAGAAACACAGACTATCGATCTGTTGTGCAGAGAAGGCTCAGTTCCCTCCAATGGAGCAGACAATTGCCCCACATCTCCTGGCGGCCTTCCCAGAAACGCCTGCAAATTGCCAGGAGAAACCTAACTGGGCCGCTCGCAGAGGGAGGCCGCACCAGGTGCTGGCAGGACCCTGAGGCGGCCCCCAGACGACCCTGCCATGCTCCCTGCTGGACGACACTCTCCCTGCTCAGGCCCTGCCGTGAGATGGGAGCTGTCTCTCCGAATGCCCTTCTCATCTGGGCTCTTCCTGGCCGCCTAGAGTTGCTTTAGTCCTTCCCAGCCTGTGTGACCTTGGGGCAGGGCCTAGGTCAGTGTGACGTGGCCCTCAGAGGCCGGCCAGGAGCTTGACCAAGACAGGCTGAGGCTCACATCTTCTTGACTCAGCCCGAGGAGGGACGCTGGGTATTCCAAATGGCTCTTGGCTGCGCATAATTACCCCAGAATTTAGGCTAGTGTTTCCCTAGGCGGGGGATGGGCTTGCAGGCTGTGGAGGTGAGCAGGTGGCTTTAATTGGGAAATGTTTGATTGCTTAATGTGGGTTATGAATTCACGGTGTTTTTATGATTCTTTCTCCCTTCCCTATCTCTTCAGTATTTTGTAACTGATATTTTTTTAACCCTCACCTGAGGACATTTTTCCATTGATTTTTAGAGAGGGGAAGGCAGAGGGAGATACAGAGAGGGGAAAACATCGATGTGAGAGAGACACATCAATTGGTTGCCTCCCACATGCACCCTGACAAGGGCGGGGAGCCTGTAGCCCAGGTACGTGCCCTTGACCAGAATCACACCCGGGACCCTTCAGTCCACAGGCTGATGCTCTATCCGCTGAGTCAAACCAGCAGGGCCATAACCGCTTTGTTTTTTAAAGGGTAATTATGCCTCACTGACTCCCTGTTCCTTCCATTGATAACCTTCCTAAAGGTTCCCTCTCTCTCTCCCCTTCTCTCTCTCTCTCGCCTTCTCTCTCTCTCTCCCTTTCCTCTCACTCTTTTCCCTTCCTGTTGGTCAGCTGAGCTCAAGTGACCCAACCTGGACAAACTCGAGAGGCGCCTTCCTGTGCAGAGAACCTCCTCTCCCTGAGGAGGGGCAGCTGTGCCCCAGGAGGCGGCACAGGCCCAGGAGCAGGGCCTTCCCTGGGGCGGGGCTGAGAGCTGCTGGTCCCGTCACCCCTCAGTCCATCCTGTAGCCCATTGAGCAACAAGGACTAACTCTCACCAGAGCTTCCACGTGCAGGCAGCTTCCCGAGCATTTTCCATATCAGCGCTTTCATCCCCAAGCCACCCACCGAGGCAGGGAGCTGGCTTCCCGCTTTGCACACGGGGATACTGAGGCACAGGAGAGCGAGGGGATTCCCCCATGTCCACCCAGCTAGCAGATGGCCAGGCCGAGGCAGTGTGGCTCCAAGCCGGACCCCAATGTGGCGTGAGGAAGGCGGGGCCCCAGCCGTTTGGGCTGGGGTGGTAGGATCCTCCTCAGCTGTCCCCACAAGCTTCTGTCTCCTGGTCCCTAGAGGGGAACTCAGAGTTGGGGGCCAGGGAGTGAAGCTGGCGCATCTCCGGGGCCCTGGGCTGCCAGATCCCTGACTGGCCGTTGGTCAGACACGTCACCCTGAGGGTCTTGTATGCAGAACAAGTGGGTGTGGTTTCTCTGGGTTTCCTGCTGGAAGCTGGGGGTCATGGCCATGGTGTCCTGTCCCCCCTGCAGCTCAGTTTGCCCAGCTGGCCCAGCTGAACCCGCAGGAGCGTCTGAGCCGGGAGACAGCCCTGCAGCAGAAGCAGGTGTCCCTGGAGGCCTGGCTGCAGCGCGAGGCCCAGACGCTGCAGCAATACCGCGTGGTGAGTGGGGTGTGCGTCCCCCTCCTCCGGGCCGGGGGGTCCACAGCCTGAGCTGTCGGGGACCGAGAGAGGGACAGGCCAGGACCCCGGGGGGCAGGAGGCCTGTGGGGGCCTGTGAGGCGGAGCAGGTGGGAGGGCAGGCCCTGCCTCCTGAGGGGGCCCTGCAGGGCTGCTCCCCGGGAGCCAGCGGGCCTGCTCCCTCCCGCAGGAGCTGGCCGAGAAGCACCAGAAGACGCTGCAGCCTTGGCTGTGATTTCTCCGTGGGCTACGAAGGCACCCTGACAGTCCTGTTCTTCAAACTCTTGGCTGCGGTCCACGGCGGAGAAACAAACACCCAGCAACACGATACTCACACGCATACACGTATATATAACAAAGCGGGGGCTCAGGGTGGTCCACCAGCTGCTTATTCTGCTCCCGAGTTTCCATGTGCAGCCACTCGCTCTGTCCTGTGACAGGTCTTACGTCACCAGTGGCCGGGCTCCCGGCACAGACTTTGGTGCCCCCGTCGTGCCCCCCGCCTGGGAAGGGGGTCACTGTGTGGGGGTGGAGCAGGGCCAGGTGCTCTGAGCTGATGCTCGGCCAGTTGGGTACAAACCAGGGTCACGCCTCCTGCGTGTCTGTGTTTCTGGAAGTCAGGGCAGCCCCTGTCCTGCTCTGCTCAGGGGACAGGACTGGGCGCTGAGGTGTAAAGCCTTCCTGGGTGAGCGTGGGGCTAGGTCTTGGGGGGCTCACCCCAGCCTGGAGCCTCTTCACCTTTGGCCTGGGGGAGGGGTGAAGGCCTGTCCTTTCCTTTGGCCCCGGGGCTGGGGTGCAGGTGTGAGAAGTTGGCCGAGATCATCTGGCAGAACCGGCAGCAGATCCGCAGAGCTGAGCACCTCTGCCAGCAGCTGCCCATCCCCGGCCCCGTGGAGGAGATGCTGGCTGAGGTCAATGCCACCATCACAGACATCATCTCCGCCCTGGTGACCAGGTGACTGCTGCCTCTCGGCCGCACCCAGCCCCGCATGTGGTTGGCCTGGGGGAGGCAGGGGATGCTTTGCAGATGCGGGGGCTCTCACTGGCACCTTTGTCTCTCTCTGCTCACACCCTTTCCCTTCTGTCCCCAGTCGCCGTTGACCTTTCCCAGTTTCTCTTGTGAGCGCTTCCTGGGCTGCCCTTGCTTCCTGCAGCCCTGTGCCAGCTGCCGAGTCCATGTCCCCGCCTCCCCTCCCGCCTCCCCGCGGCTCTCAGTGGCCTCCCTGGGAACAGGGTGTCGGCCACGTGCCCTTCCTCTGCCTGCCGAGCCCTGTGTGCGGCCTCCTGCCCACACGGGGGACCAGAGCCCTGTCCCCTGAGGCAGCATCTCGTCCCTTGGGTCCCCGCAGCACGTTCATCATTGAGAAGCAGCCCCCTCAGGTCCTGAAGACCCAGACCAAGTTTGCGGCCACCGTGCGCCTGCTGGTGGGGGGGAAGCTGAACGTGCACATGAACCCCCCCCAGGTGAAGGCCACCATCATCAGCGAGCAGCAGGCCAAGTCGCTGCTCAAGAACGAGAACACCCGCAAGTACGTGCGTCCTGCCTTATTGGCGCCTGACTCCGGGCTCAGTCAGGGGCCTGCCTCTGTCCTACACGTGGAGGCCTAGTGATGGAACAGCCCAGCCTCCCTGTCTGCAGTGTTTTGTCCTGGCGTTGCAGACACCGTCCGTGTCTCTCCTGTTCATTCTGTCTGTCCGGTGTTCACTTTGCTCCTCCTGCACAGAGGCCTATCCCGGCCCTGCTGTGCCCAGCACATAGTAGGTCAACAAGGATTGCACTGCTCGGGTGTTCTTGGGTCTGTGCTAAGTACTGGGACCCGGTATAATCCAAACAGAACTTGACTGTGCTTGGCTAGAAGAGTAGGCAGCAGGCATGAGAAGTGATTACGGACGAGTGACAAGGGAGACATGTGGAAGTGGGTCATGATGTAGGTGGAGCAGTGACACTTCGTCTCAGGCTGCAGGATGAATGGGAGGCAGCTAGGGAAGGAGCCTGGAGAGGGCAAACTTCCAGGCAGAGGACATGGGCCTTGTCCGGAAGGTGCATGTGTGGACAGAGAACCCAGGGCTGGGGTCCCGGGGTCGGGGCAGGCCACTCCTAAAGGGAGCCGTGCATGAGTGAATGAAGGAGTGGATGTGAGAAGGGGGAGACTTGGTTGTGTGGACTGAGTGATCTGGGCATAGGGTGATGAAGAAGGCCAAGAGATTCTCACTTTCTTAGATCTTACGTTCTGGCTGGGGAGGGAGACAGTCCTGTGCTTTTGAAAATAAGGCAGTGTCAAAAAGGGATACCCCGTAGAAAGAAAATCAAGACGGGGTGCTATCCCAGCGTCTGGGTAGACATATCAACACCCCATGGGTGGTTGAGGAGGGCCTTTCTGAGGAGCTATTTGAATCGAGACCTGAATGAGAAGGTCAAGAAGGTTTGGGGCAACAGGAAGAGTGAGTGCAGAAGTCCTGAGGTTGGACCACGCTTGCATGTTCCGCGCACAGACGAGGCAGCATGGCTTGCTTATTCTGAATAAGGGAAGAGGAACCCCATGAGGCCAGGGAGGAGGCGGGGGTGATCCTGGGGGTACTTGTAGGCTGTGGTCATGATTTTAAGTTCACTAGAAGCTGAAGGGTCTCACATCAGCCTTGATGCTCAAGGTATTTTGAACCCGATGATAGAGACCCAGACCCCACCCTTGATGACTGTCAGGTTGATGAGAAAGTAAGGCCGGGACCCAGCGAAGAACGTTCTCAGGGTAGGGCAGGGGCTGTGGGCCCGGCCAGCAGCAGGGCCATGTTCCTGGCCGGCCTGTGTGGAGACGGGGCTCTCCTCTCTTCCACAGCGAGTGCAGTGGAGAGATCTTGAACAACTGCTGCGTCATGGAGTATCACCAAGCCACTGGCACCCTCAGCGCCCATTTCAGGAACATGGTGAGGACAGGGCCTGGCTCTGGGAGGGAGGGAAGGTCTGCCCAGAGCTCGGTCCCTGTAACCAGCTCCTGTCTCCCGGCCCCGCTCCCGCCCCACCCACAGTCGCTAAAGAGGATCAAGCGCGCTGACCGGCGGGGCGCGGAGTCCGTGACGGAGGAGAAGTTCACAGTCCTGTTTGAGTCTCAGTTCAGCGTGGGCAGCAATGAGCTTGTGTTCCAGGTGAAGGTGAGGGCGCGCACTCCCATCCCCCCAGGTCACCCGGGAAAGCGCAGGGACCTGCCCACGGCCACGGGGCTGGTTTGGGAGCCCAGAGAGCGCCCAGTCCGCTCCGATGAGTTGCCCGGTGATGCTATCAGAAAACCTGCTTTCATTCTGCTGGTGCCTGTTTGCGAGGCTGTATCGTAATCTGGCCCCGGCCCACAGAACTCAGGCGATGGGCCGGGAAGAAAGATGTTGTTTCTTGTGTGTTTGTTTTTGCTTTGGTTTTGACGGGAGGGGCATGTGGTTGGGACTGTGGGGAAGCAATGAGGGTGGGGAGTCTTGCCCGAGCAGGGGGCAAGAGGGTGGTCGTATGCCCTCAACTCTCATTCTTTTGACTCCCCTAGACCCTGTCCCTTCCTGTGGTGGTCATTGTTCACGGCAGCCAGGACCACAATGCCACGGCCACCGTGCTGTGGGACAACGCCTTTGCCGAGCCCGTGAGTCCCCTGGGACCCCGTCTCCTGAGCCTAGGATCTCCCAGGGTCATTCTCAACCCCTCCGGGCCCTGCCCAGTGGTCCTCCCCCACCCCGGGACCAGCTCGAGTGAGGAGAGGGGAGAGGGGCAGCTGGTGTGAGTCCCCTGCCCTCGGCATGCCCTCGGGCTCCCGTTTTAGGATTAGGGTCTCCCAGGTCCGTGAGCTTGGTCTTTGGGATCTGGCCCTTGATCTTCCTTTGGCTTGTGGTTTGGGTCACTGATCTCTGTCCTCAGACCCCTGGTCTGGTCTCTATCTTGCACACCCACCTTCTGCCCCTGCCACCCCGCCTTCCTTTCCATGTGTTTGTCTCCTTTTCTGAGTCTTTCTCAGTCCCCTCTGTCTCCAGGTATCTGTAGGCCTGTGTGTCTGTGTTAGTGTGTGAGTATTTCCTGCTCCCTCAATCCCGCCCGCCCCTTCTTCTCTCCCGCTCAGGGCAGGGTGCCCTTTGCCGTGCCTGACAAAGTGCTGTGGCCGCAGCTGTGTGAAGCGCTCAACATGAAATTCAAGGCCGAAGTGCAGAGCAACCGGGGCCTGACCAAGGAAAACCTCCTGAGGTCAGTGCCCCACCCTCTCTCACAAGCAGGAGAGATGGAGGGGCTGGTACCCCAAGGAATGCAGTCAGCTGTGACAGCCAGAGCAGGACCGCAGAAGGGAGCCCGGAGCTGAGAGTCAGGGTCCTTGGGCTCTACTCCTCGCCTGGTTAACTGTTTTGCCAGGCCCCTTCCCTGCTCTGGGCCTCAGTTTCCCCATCTGTGAAATGAAGGGGTTGGGCAGGAATGGCTGTTGTACGTCCACCCCCCGCCCCATGGGGTTGTCGTGGGCCTCTGGGTCTCAGACCAGAGGCGAGCTGACTCTCCAGTTCCCTCGCAGAGGGGTTGGGGACTGTGTGGACAGCCGCAGTGCGGGACAAGTAGGGCGAGGAATTGGGAGAGGGTCTGGATGAGGACAAGAGGCACTGATGGTTTCCTGGGCCACCTGTGACAACAGGGGCCCCAACCCTGACTTGGGGTTTCCTGGGGTTCTCAGGAGAACTTGCCGGGCTGGAACTATACCTTCTGGCAGTGGTTTGACGGGGTCATGGAGGTGCTGAAGAAGCATCACAAGCCCCATTGGAATGACGGGTGAGGAGAGGCGGGCATGGGGGTCGGGAGGGCGTGGGCTCCGGGGACAGTGGCTGCTGGCCCAGCGGTGACACTGTATGTTCCGTGCTCCCAGGGCCATCCTAGGTTTTGTGAATAAGCAGCAGGCCCATGACCTGCTCATCAACAAGCCCGATGGGACCTTCTTACTGCGCTTTAGCGACTCAGAAATCGGGGGCATCACCATTGCCTGGAAGTTTGACTCTCGTGAGTGCCCTCTTTTGTCCACACTCCAGCCCCAATTTCCCTGCGCGTCCTTCTCCATCGGGCCTGCCTCCTTAGAAGGTACCTGGTGGGAAAGATAGGAACTGAACTCAGAGTCTGGGAGGAAATACATTCCCTTTCTATCATTTCCCATTTTGGAGAACCTAAAATCCTGGCCCCCTAAGGCTCCGGGATCGCTGGGTGAGTCCTTCAGCAGCTCCATGCTCTCCCTTCTCTGCCCTGACCTGGTCTTGTCATTACCATGTTCCCATGGACGTTGCCTTGCCCTGCGCCAGGGACCTCAGGGATGGGGTTGTCGTGGGGACTAGTAGGAGACCAGGTGTCTCCGCAAGCCCGTCCTGAACCCCACAACCCCGGGCCTCCTCCTGAGGGCGGGCGGCGGGTTGTGGGAACGAGCTTGTCCCTTTCACAGCTGACCGCAACCTGTGGAACCTGAAGCCGTTCACCACGCGAGATTTCTCCATCCGGTCCCTGGCCGACCGGCTGGGCGACCTGAGCTATCTCATCTACGTGTTTCCCGACCGGCCCAAGGATGAGGTCTTCGCCAAGTACTACACGCCCGTGCTCGGTGCGTCCTGCCTGGCCCTCCCCAGCCCTCCTCCGGCCCAGGGACTCACTCTCAGGCAGTGGGGACTCCCCAAGAACCCTGTGGGCTTCGGGTCACCAGATGGTGCAAAGCACGTGGAGAGGATTTCAGGGCTCGTAAGCGAGGAGAGGGAAAGCGAAACCACGGAGTCTGCTTTCTCCTCTGCCAAGGGAAAAGCCGGTAGACTCTCACTTCTGCCCTTGGGAGAGGAGGCTGCAGTGCTGGGGAGGAGCCAGGATGAGTCACACCCACAGACAGCACTTCTTCATCCACCGGCCCTGCTCCCCGCCCTTAATCCTGCTCCCAGGCGCAGTGCAGGCGCACAGTGGACAGGTTTTTCCTCTTCAACTTGTCCCCAACCCTTTGGTTGCGTTGGCTCCTTGGCGTTGATTCTGTTTCCTTGGCAGTGGAAGGGGTGGGGAGAGAGAAAGCAAAGGGCCAGAAAAGGAAGCCCGAGCAGGGATGAGATTGGAGCCAGGCTCTGGGTAGCCCTCTGGCTGACCCGTCAGCAGGTGTTCATTTGGGGTCCATGGGGGCGGTCCATGGGAAATCTCATCCTGGCTGAGGCCCCCAGCAGCTGGGATAAGCGACAGACTCCATGGGGTGAGTTTCCACCTCCGACAAGCTCCCAGAAACTTTGGTTCTCATCACAGTTCCCCCCTCGGCAGCTAAAGCAGTGGACGGATACGTGAAGCCACAGATCAAGCAAGTGGTCCCTGAGTAAGTGTCTGGGGTCCAGCTCTGGTCTCCTGCTGCCTCTGTTCCCCCACCACCACCACCACCACACGTCCAAGGGCCCAGCATTCCATTCTCCCTAAAACCTGGCTCAGCGCTGGGGAGGGAACCAGGCTTGGTCACCATGGGCCAGTGCCCAGGGCCCCTCCTGCACTTGTCCTTCTGCACCCGAGAGAGACAGAAAGATGCCCCTGAGCCCGTTCCCTGTCAGCACTGCCCTGAGGCCGCTGAGGCTCTGCTCTGCTTCCTCCTCCAGGTTTGTGACGTCTGCAGACTCTGCTGGGGGCAATGCCACCTACATAGAACAGGCCCCCTCCCCGGCTGTGGGTCCCCAGGCTCATTACAACATGTACCCACAGAAGTAGGTTGTGTTCTTACAGGGCTTCATGGGGGGCTGGGACTGGGCACTGGGCCTTGGGCTGGACCCCTGGAGGGCTGTGGGCCAAGGAATCCAGAGCTCCTCCAGGTCTGAGACCACCCAGCCCAGGCCAACCTCTGGCATGTGCCTGCCAGGTGCAGGGAGGGTGAGATCAACCAGTAAAAACCACAGTGCGTTTTGGGACTTAACACACAGCAGGGTCCTTGCTGTGGTGCTGTCTAGCTGTGTGACCTTGGGAAAATTATTGAGCCTCTCGGATGCTGTTTTCTCATCTGTAAAATGGAAGCAAGAATACCTGCCTTGGGGGATTGGGGTCAGGAATAAGGAGAGAGTGTGTGTAAAGCATTTAGCACAGGTGAGGCTACTGCAGGGATTTCACACAAGACAGATATGAATCGGGTGGTCGTTCTTGGGAGCCGGGGGAACAGGGTATCCTTGCTCCTCTCTGGGGTTCCCATGGTAGAGAAGTCATTCTCTTCTGAGTTGTGGATGGTCTGGGCTGGTTGTCTGTTTGCCTGGGAGGCTCAAGCTGTAGTGGGATCCCCCCCAGGCTTGGGGGGTCGCCAGCCAGGAGGCCCTGAGCAAGATTCCTGACACGGTCAAGCCTCATTTCCTCCTCTGAAAAGCTGAGTAAATGCCTACCTTACAGGTGGCTGGAAGGATTGGAGTAACGTGGTTACAAGGCCCAGGTCCTCGTAGGTGCTCAGTGGATGGTGCCTAGGATTTAATGGAATAGTGCCGCAGGTGGGCAGAGCTCACTGGGTCAGCCACCTCCTTGGACAGTTGAGGACAGGGAGAGGAAAATGCATTCCCCTCTATCACTCAGTGAGGCAGTGAGAGATGAGACTGGGTGCCTCCCAAAGAGCCGGTGACTACACCTTGGGGTGCAGGGGTCTAGCCAGAGCCGGTCTGAGTGGGGAGCAGACTGGGGACTGCCCCCGAGAGCTTGAGGCAGTGAGACTGGCCAGCTCCCTCTGACATCCCCCTCTCTCCACCAGTCCTGACCCCGTCCTTGAGCAGGATGTAGAATTTGACCTGGACGAGACCATGGATGTGGCCCGGCACGTGGAGGAACTCCTACGCCGCCCGATTGACAGTCTGGACCCCCGCCTGTCCCCGCCTACCGGGCTCTTCAGCTCTACCAGAGGCTCGCTCTCCTGAATGTGTGCATCCCACACTTCTTGGAAACAATAACCCGTGCAAAGGGTTCATAGAAATTGCAATTTTCGTGTTACTGTGCGTATTGGTGCCCTTGCAGGGCACCGTGTATATTTGTGTGCGAGGTGTGCCACCTCGCCTTCGCAGTCCTAGGTGTGTGGCTGCTGCCCAGGCAGCCGCCTTTTCCTCCAGATCAAGGTATTTCAGGAGAGCCCAGGGGCCTGTCTCTGCGGTGGGAGAGACTGAGCTGCTTCTGTCGCGACAGGTACTCAGTGCAGGAAACCGCCTCCTGCTGGGGCCTCCATCTGCTCAGCAGCTATTTGAATGAAACTGTTCAAGGAGGGGAATAGAGACGGCCAGCATCTCTAAGCTCTACTCCTGACTTAGAAGCTTTGCCTCCCAAGTGTGTGCGCGCGCGCACATATATGTGCACCTGCTCTCATGCACGCGTGTTGGTCTATTGCTTCTTCCCTTGGAAGGGAGGTTGGGGATGAACATGGACTCCAGACTTTTTGTGAAGTGAGAGCTTATCTAGGTGGTGGCCAAGTCCCTCGACCTCGATGGGTCATTTGAGTAGGCCCCGCCAAAGCCGCCCTGAGCGTGTAATTTCTTGGCCTCCCATCTGGAGCGTGATGCCATAGCCAACGCTCCCGCTCCTTCTCACTCAACATCCCCACCCCTCCATCTGGCCCCGCCTCCTCTCCTTGCCTCTGTTGCTTATAGGAGAGGTAGGAGAGGGGAAGACAGGTGCAGGACCTGGTGTGAACAGGGGGCCCAGGACTTGTAGGACTGACCCCTCTGATCCTGGAAGTAACCTGCATGGAGAGACAGCAGCCAGGCAGTGGGATCTGGAGTGAGGGGTGAAAGCTGATCTCTGCTTCCACGCTGCTGGGAGGTGGAACCTAGAAGAGGCCTCATCACAGTTGCATAACCCGCTGTGGTGGGAGAAGGCTTGCTGGCTCCGCCCTCCCAGGCTCTCTGGCCTGCAGCCAGGGGCAGCTGACAGTGGGACAGTGGGAGCCCCAGGTGGAAACCTCTCTGAAGGCGCAGGGGGGTGAGAAGAGGGAGTCTTTTGTACTTTGTACATAGGCCACACATTTGTGAAAAGTGTTTTTAAATAAAAAAATTTTTTTTTTTTCATAAAACTGCTGGTGTGGCTCCTGGTTGGGGAGCCCTGGGAGCTGGTGGCGTTTCGCTCCTTCCGTCCGACGTGGCCGACGCTGTGCTGTGTAGCTTGAAGCTACAACTCTGCTCCCTTTCTGTGTTTTAAGGGTGCCAACCCCCCTGGAACACTGTCAGTGCTTCTCACAAGACTAAAGAGCTAAGCCTCGAGGGGCAGGGATTGCTGGGGGAAGGGACGCGAGCGAGGAGCGGGAAGAAGTGTGGCTGCTGCTGTGAGCAATCCTGAAGCTGGCGGCTGAGGGTCAGGGCCACCGTGACTCTCGACCCTTCTGGGCCAGGGTCACTGGAGAGCCTCCCAACCACCCCTCTTCCCAGAGACCAGCAGATGGCACCATCCCACTGCCACTGTGTCTCAAATGGCCCGAGACCAGGAGGAGGCTGGTCAGGGCAGAAGGGGACAGTCTCCCCAAGGTCCAGGGGCTGTCACTGGGGCCCCTGGGGGAAGGAGGGAGCAAAGGCCTGCTCACAAGACTTCTTCAGAGCTCAAAGGAGGGAAGGGGCTGGCAGCCGCCCCAGGACGTGCAGGGGCCCAGAGCAGGGTGCTGGGGGTGGGTGGGAAGGGAAGCAGCCGCCAGCCCCGCCTGAGCAAACTAATCTCGTTCCATCTCTGCAGGGCAAGGCGGCTCATATCTCACACTCCTGCTCAGATCTGCTCCGTGGGACTCGGCACAGGGGGAGGGGGTGGGAGAGCCGAGGGGGCGCCCATGTCTGTGAATTATCACCATTGACTGCAGGCTAGAGCAGCAGCTGGTTAGGTGTTCAGTTCACAGTTCACACCGCTGAGTGACTGAAGAGAAAGTGATAATGGAGCAACTGTGGAAGGGGAGGCCTTGGGGGTGGGGTGGGAGATCTCCGTCTCAACCCCCTTAGGTAGCTTATCAGACCCCAAACAGGAGGCCCAGCTTGCAAAGGCCCTAGAGGGAGGAGGAGGGAAGGCCTCCACTCTGACACCTTTGTGTGAAGGAGTATGACCCCTGGCTCTTCCACTGGCCCTTAGCTGGAAGCTGGTGACTAACTTAAGTTGGGGAGGGTTGCTCAGTTGCCCCAAAAGTGGGTCTGAGTCAACTCAGCAATGAGAGGCGAGGGTGACAGAGCAGGGCCCCCACCTCCTCTCCAGACGCAGGCCTGACCTGTGGGTCAGGCCCCGCAGAACCTCCACCAGCCAGAAACAGAGCTGCCACTCTATCAGGCAGGTCCTATATATTTTTATTTTTAGAAGTTAAAGTAGATACAGCAATATACAAAAACACACACAATAATATAAATTTTTACACTATGAAGTATACATTGGAATTTGGTGCAGTGGCCAGGACAACAGCTTAAAACCACTGTATAAGTAGGTTAAGCGATCAATGGGACCCCTCGGCTGGGGCTAGGGTCGGGCGGGGCGGACAGAAGAGAGAGCGCGGGCAGGTCCTGGAGAACTTGGTTCTTTAAGGGAGCGGCTGACCAAGTCTCAGCCAGAGTTAAACCCAGATACAAATGCTACTCAGAGCCCTGGACTCCAGAGAAGCCGGATCCTTGCTCCAGATCCCTCAGATCTAGATCTCTCATGTTATGAGTCAAGCTTATTATGAACAAGAGAGTTTCTGGAGAAGGGAGAGCTCTGTGCAACCTGGCAACCGGTTCTAGGTGGGAAGACAGGGATGGCCAAGGGCCACCCCTGTGTGTCTTGGAGAGAAAGTCCTCATCCCCTTAATTCAGAAACTGGCTAACTGGGGTATACCAACAGCATTCCATAGAAACTCCCATCACTGACTCAGGTGGTTTGGGACCACCCCCTACACCCATGCCTCTGGGCCAGGGGGGCCCCCGTAGCAAAGACCACCTCTTCCGCTCCCGAGTGTCCCGAAGTGCACAGTAACTGCGACCTGTTCTGCCTCAGCTGTGGGGCCTCAGCCGGGAGAGTCACCGGTGTGGGGGGAAGCTGGGAGCACGCCCCCTCACACAGGGACAGGCTGAGTTTATCAGCAAGCCTTTGCCCCTGGGTTAACCAAGTGAAGAAATAATTACAGGTGCTGTGGGCAATCACCAAGAAACTGGGGTGAGAGCCACATTCCCTGAGCTCTTGTCGGTTGGGGCCCCACTGTCTGAGTCATGTTCAACCTGTCACTCTCTCCCTCTTACTCCAGGAGGTCCTGAGACCAGATTCCTAAAGCAAACAGGACAAGGGACCTTTGGACACTGCAAGGGGCCATGCCATAAGAGAGGTGGGGGGTGGGAGGAAGAAGAGAGTCACCCCATTCTTTATAAGGCACCCACAGAACCACCGGGCTCTGAATAGGAGCACATGTCCAAGAGGGAAGGGAGGAAAGGTTATAAGTACCCCTCTGCCAGCCTTACCTACTAACAGACCAACACATAAAAGGAAAATAAAAACTCTATTTAAAAAGACTAGAAGGTTTAGGTTCTCCTTCAACCTTCCTATTTCAAAACCAAAGGCCACGCCACAGCTCCAGAGGCCCTTTAAGGGCTGGGCCTGAGGCCCGTTTCAGGGTTTGTATGAAGTGTCAGCCTGAAGAAAGCTGAAAGCCTGAAGCACCAAGGAGGCTATTAACTGAGTTTTCGTAAATACAGAAAAAGGCTATGCTGATACAGTGTTTTTGCCTTTTAATTATTATTACTGCTTTAAATTTAAAAAGAAACCTAGGGGCTCTGAAAGTCCTATCTTTTATTTGGATGTTAGCAAGGTTAAAAGTGCAGTGCCAGGGGTATGCAGCTGGAGGCAGCCTGTGGCGTTAGCTTACAGAAAAGGGCAGAGGGATGCCGCTGGCACCAGGAGGCACTTGTCGAACAACAACAACAAGCTGCTGAGAAAGGAGGGCAGGGGGACAAAAACACGTTTCCTTTCCTTTCCTCCCTCTTGCCACCCCTTCCACATCCCCTGATCACAGTCTCAGAGAACGCTGTCTTATTTGCATTTAGATAAAAGCATATCACCCACATTCATTCATGTCTCTATTTGAAAACAGTGCCCAGATTGCTCAGATAGCAGAAGTAGGAGATTAAAACAAATCTGGAACCACAGAGTGAGGAGTTCAGATGCTCTGGGGCTTGGCTGTCTAAGGGTGGAACAGAGGTGCCTCCGCCATCTCTCGCTGCAGCTTCAGTCCTCGGCGCCTCACATGGGGGAGGTAGCGCACTCTGAGGTCAGCTCCATGTCGAATGTGAGGGACTCTGGAGGGACAGACGGGGAGAGCTGGTCGGTTGCCTGGTGAGGCACACACCCCTAGCCCTTTCGGTGACAGAGGCTCAGGCCCTCTGCCACCCAGTCTCCTGCCCCTTGTGGCCAGGTCAGGGTTGGATAACCTAGATTCACTCTCCTCCCTATAAGATCTTGCCCTGGAAGGGCGCAGCCCCTTCCTACCTTAACTCATTCCCAACTCTCTGTGCTTAAAGTCGACCCAGGGCTGCCCTGTTGAATGCGGCAGCCTGGAGTCACAGTGACTAGTCCAAAGTGAGAGGGGCTGTGGCTACAAAACACCCAGCAGATTTCAAAGACTCAGTGCAAACACCTCACTCATTTTTTTCTTACACGTTGAAATGATAGTGTATTGGATTTATTGGGCTACACAGAAAATATTAAAATTAACCTCACCTGTTTCCTTTCACTGTTTTTAACGGGAAGATGTACACTTACGCACGTGGCGTGGTGCATTTCCGCCGGAGAGCGCTGCTCTCGAGCCCCTTCTACAATCCCCGTGACCAGCTCTTGGCTCCGCACATGGGCCATCACACAAGGGGGACCAACTGCCCTCCAAATACTCACCAAACTGCCCTCCTGCTGAGGGTTCAGCACCTTCACCATTATTTCCAAACTGCATCAATGAATCTAAAGTGCGGGGGGACATCGGCAGGTCAATGGTATTGCTGCAGGTCGTTCTGTAGGAAATGGGGAGCAGCGGGAGGGGAAAGGGCCGGGTTGACAAGACACAATGGATAAAAAAAAAAAAAAAGAACAAAACACACACACACAAGCCATCAAACTCTGGTCTCCAACAGAAAAATAAAAGCTCAAGCTTTTTAAATGCACAAGATCACCGTGATACTAAACACAGCCCAGGGCCTCCAACCCTCGCAGAGTAACTCTCACCCATGTCCCATTTCCGGGGTAACTGAGGACATTAGAAATGGAGGCAAAATTGGGAGAGGAGGCCACTTACGGTGTCACACAGATGAACTTGGTCTTCAGGTAGGGGGCAGCACCTGGAAGAGGAAACGGGCCTTACTGAGTGTGCCCCTCTCGGGGCAGGGCAGGAGGAAGCGGCTGCCCCAGCTGGGCTGACCTGAAACTCACTCCATCCTTGAGCAGAGACTGTTTTGAACCGCCATCTCCCTTCAGGGCTGCCCTCCCACTCTGTACACGACCTGATGTTCTAGGCCAGTGATGGCGAACCTTTTGAGCTCGGTGAGTCAGCGTTTTGAAAAACCCTAACTTAACTCTGGTGCCGTGTCACATATAGAAATGTTTTGATATTTGCAACCATAGTAAAACAAAGACTTATATTTTTGATATTTATTTTATATATTTGAATGCCATTTAACAAAGAAAAATCAACCAAAAAAATGAGTTCGTGTGTCACCTCTGACACACGTCATAAGTTCGCCATCACTGGGCTAGGCCCTTGCAGCCCTGGAAGTTCCATGAAGTTTTCCTTAACTACAGAAACTGTCCCACCCGAGCCCAGAGAAATGCCAGCCTGTGTTCATGCTTTCCCTGGATTGTGTTAACGTGTCACTGCCTGGACCTGGTCTGAGGATAGTGTGCTGGCCGGTCGTGTCACTCGGGTGACTTCTCTACACGCAGAAGCAGCGTGTACGCAGTGTGGGCATCCTGGTCAGTCAGCACCGGCCCTCAGTCTCTGAGAGAACGTGAAGCCTCGGATGCTTGTGGTTCCGAAGCTGAGGGTCACACCTTCTGTTCCTATTGGCACTAATCTCCTCTGTTACAGTTTTAGGTGAG